TTTTTTTTTTTTTTTTGAATTAAATGAATGGATCAAAATTAAATAATTCAAGCCCTGCCTTCAAAATGAAAAAAAAAATTTTTTTTAGTATTGTTTAGCAAAAACAATAAAACCCAAATTTTTTTAACCATTACTCATGTCTTGGGTTTGTGCATCCTTGAGGGCCAAGGAGGGTGTCTGCTGCAGCTCCTTACCCAGAAGGGTCTGAGGCCCCAGGGTCCCCCACTGCCGCCTGCTGCAGCCAGAGCTGGGGTGGGGTGCAAGGGCCCAGGGGTTCTGTTCATTGGTTTTTTGAGCCAGGTCTGGCTGCGTAGTCCAGGTTAGCCTCAAACCTACTGTAACCTTGGCAGGCCTTGACCTTTGGGTCCTCCTGCCTCAGCCTCTGAGGGCTGGGACAGCTGGGGTGCTTGCCCAGAGCAGGGTAGAGAGGACGCTAGACTGGGCGCAGAGCTTGTGTGGCCAGCAGCTCTGCGCGCAGTGGCTTCTCTGGGGACGGTGCTGCCCAGCCCCCAGGTCTGTGCCTGCCCCACTGGCTCTTGGCCGCTGGGAGCCAGTGTGTCAGCTGCTCTCCCCTGTGCTACGCAGGGAAAGGAAGCAGGAAGCAGTGGTGCAGGGCAGCTTGGGACCCTGCCCCAAGACCCCATCTCAGGCGTTGCCCTCCTGTGTTGTTGCCGTCCGGCTAGGGTGCAGCCCCGTGAGAAGCTGGCAGTAGTGTGGCAAGGTGTTGGGGCCCAGCACCGTGATGGTAAGCAGCAGGTGCCACTGCCACTGTGGCAAAACTGCAACAACCACAGAACAGCAGCCAACAAGCTCGCAGGGGCCAGGGAGATGGCTCAGTGGCATAAGCACTTCCCTGGCAAGAGCAAGGGTCTGAGTTCAATCTCTGGTTCTGCAAAAAAAAAAAAGGCATCCCAAGGTGGAAGGGCCACTTTTTCTTTTTGGCTCTGGGGACTGAACAACCTAGACCTTGCACTGACCTTCAGCCCAGACTCAGGTCATGCTGGACCATAAGCAGAACTGAACGCCCCGCACAGGCGCCAGCAGACAGTCTTGGCGGTGAAAGCCCCTTCCTGGGGACGCAGGGTGTCCGTACTTCCGGCCTCTTATTTCTGAGCACCAACCACAAGCCGCACGCTGCAGCACACATTGTTCATTTACTGTGTGTGCAGCGTGAGTTCCCAGGTGTTCTGCATACTTGGTCCCGGGGCTGTGGAGCTCGCGATCTAGTGGCAGAAAACTGGCAATAAAAGGGCCACGAATACAAGCCAGCCGGGTGGCACAGGCCTGACATGCCAGGATTTGGGAGGCTGTGGCAGGAGGACTGTAAATTCCAGTCCAGCTTGTCTTAGACGGTGCGAGATGCAACTCAGTGCGAAGGCCGCGGGGTCGCTCCCTAATGCCCCGGGCAGAAGGAAAAAGGCGGGCGCGCCGGAGCCCTTGCGGCGCTGTCACCGCCCCCTCCCGCAGCTGGGGAGGGCCCTCTGCAGCGTGGCCTGCTCCAGCCCGGCACACCACGACCCGGCTACCGGACGCTCCGGTCTCGCTGCTCCTGACTCCAGCCCACGTTTCAATTTTGCGGGTACAGAGCAGGTGGGGCGGGGCGGGCTGGAGCCTTACGGTGGCTGAGGGGACGGCTCCTACCCGGAACTAGAGAACCGAAGCTGTGCTTCCGGAAGTCGGGGAGCAGGGGATGCGCGTGCGGCCGGAAGTTGCGCGTCGCATTCCAGCGCGGGCCTGGCAATCCGGCGTGAGGCCGCAGCGAACTGCCCTTGCTCAAGATGGCGTCGAAGATCGGTTCCAGGCGCTGGCTACTGCAGCTGCTCATGCAGTTGGGCTCGGTGCTGCTCACGCGCTGCCCGTTCTGGGGCTGCTTCAGCCAGCTCATGCTGTATGCCGAGAGGGCCGAAGCACGCCGGTGAGCGCCTGCGCAGCCGCTGTCCGGTGGGGGGCGGGTCCGGGAGCGACGCGAGCCGTGGGCCCTGGGCCCGAGGCCGGGAGCGCGGGCGGTGCGGCTCGGTCCGGGGCTCGCACGCGGCGGGAAGCGGGAAGCGGGATGCGGGATGCTGTGCCCCAGTCCCTCCGACCTCGGCTCAGGCACGCTCTCGCCCGCAGGAAGCCCGACATCCCTGTGCCCTACCTGTACTTCGACATGGGCGCCGCTGTGCTGTGCGCCAGCTTCATGTCCTTCGGCGTCAAGCGGCGCTGGTTTGCGCTGGGCGCCGCGCTGCAGCTGGCCGTGAGCACCTACATCGCCTACGTGGGCGGCCACGTCCACTATGGGGACTGGCTGAAGGTGAGCGGGCCGTCCGGCCGCGGACCCGCGCAGGCCGGCGCACAGGCTCCTCCCCGCGAGGTCCGAGTGGGGCGGGCCGCCCGTGCGTGCTGGACGGAGCCCACGCCACCGGCTCCCGCGCCCCGAGCCGGGAGGGGCCCCGGGCAGCGGGCCCTGGAGCTGGCTCGGCGCTCCCGCCTGTGGTGTGAGGTGTGGGAGTCCACGGTAGCCGGGAGCGGGGTTGGGGTTGTGTGGGACGAAGCCACGGAGCCAGGTGTGTGGACGGGACAGCACGGGGAGGTGAGAGCTGTTGTTCAAATGGCGCAGATCCTAGAGCAGGACACCGGGCCTCTCCGGCCCCTGGGTGGGGAAAGGGGCACTGTGTGGTGTCTGGGTTCTGCCACTTACTTTCTGTAGGACCATGGACAATTTTGTTAACCCCTCTGGGCCTCAGTTTCCACTTCTGTAAAAAAGAATTATGTGTCTCTGCTGTACCTGCCCTCCACACTTGGAAATGGTAAGAGGGTTCATGATGTGGGACGGAGAGATGGGAGCCAGGAGAAATGTGGTGGCCGCGGCTCTTGACTGGGACCTTTGCTCTGGCCCTAGGTCCGCATGTACTCGCGCACGGTGGCCATCATTGGCGGCTTCTTAGTGCTGGCTAGCGGAGCCGGAGAAATGTACCGCCGGAAGCCCCGCAGCCGTTCTCTGCAGTCCACTGGCCAGGTGTTCCTGGGCATCTACCTCATCTGTGTGGTAGGTTGGGGCCCTGCTGGCTGGAGGTGCCTGTGGGCAGTGAATTAGGGGCCCCACCCCGAAGCACACAGGGAAGGGGGTACCACAAGGCCTTGTACCCAGCTATGGATGGCCTGACTCCCAGGGCTGCCCTGAGCCTCAAGGGCCCCCCATGCACTCTCTGTCCACATTCTTGCTACCAGGTAGACAAGTGGTTCCAAGCCTGAGGGCTGGGGAAATATGGGGGGCTCGTTCTCTCATGGGTTCCAGCCTTTTGAGTTCTGGGAGAGGAGACGGAAGAGAGGTGTGGTGGGGTACAGGGCCCAGTTGAGACCTAGAGATGATGGGGTCTCCCTGGGAGGTCCCAGGCACTTGGCCTCAGCTCCATCCCCAGGCATTGCAAGCCCTTTGGAGGGCCTATGAGACACATTTCCTTCTGTGAGAAGCCCTGAGGGGAGAAAAAGAGGCTTATCGCCTCCTGGGCCTAGAGTGTGGGGCCCCGCTTTCTGAGGCGCTGCTTTAGAATTGAGTCTCAGGATGGTGTGTCCCCAGGCGTACTCACTGCAGCATAGCAAGGAGGACCGGCTGGCGTATCTGAACCATCTCCCGGGAGGCGAGTTCATGGTCCAGCTCTTCTTCCTGCTCTATGGTGTCCTGGCCCTGGCCTTCCTGTCCGGCTACTACGTGACACTGGCTGCCCAAATCCTGGCAGTGCTGCTGCCCCCAGTCATGCTGCTCATCGATGGCAATGTGGCCTACTGGCACCACACACGGCGGGTGGAATTCTGGAACCAGATGAAGCTCCTTGGCGAGAACGTGGGCATCTTTGGGGCCGCAGTCATCCTGGCCACTGATGGCTGAGTCTTGCAGTGCAGGCAGCCTGCCTTCTGCCTCCCTGGTCTCGCTGCTGTGGATTATGCTTTTTCTTCATCGATTTGGTCCTTTGTGGTTTTTGTTTTTTGTTTCCTTTCCTTTCGTAGTTACAAGGCAGGTCTTATCCTGAAGTTCGCAGATGGGCTCTGTAAGGTGAGAGCCCTGACACTGAAGCCTCACAGAGCTGTTCCTGTTTGTGAGGAAAACGGGCTTCCAGGGCAGGGTGAGGAGAGTACATATAATGAGGGACCAGGGCTGCAGGGGTGGGGTGCAGGTCCTCACATGGACAGAGAAAAGGAGACAGAGCCAGTTGTAGTGTAGATCCACAGCAACCCCCAAAACCTTGTGTGTTCGGGAGGTGACTGGATTATGGGCTTGCAGCTGACATTCTGTTAGAGGTGGGCTGGAAGGAAGGGGCAGTCACTAGCTGTGTTGTTGGCCTGGAAAGGCTCCCCCTCATCCCCCCCCCTCCTCTTTACCTTTCCCTGCTTCCTGGCTGTCATGAGATGAGCAGCTTTTCCCATGCCAGGCCAGTGCCTTGGAACCAGCTGACGGCAGCCTGAAATGTGAGCCAAGTTGTGGGTATCAGGTACTCTGTCACAGCAACAGGAAAGGAAAACAGATTTTGGTACCGGGAGTGGGGTCTTTGCCTTGATGCCGCCTCACCTGGCAGGTCAGCAGCCTTTGGAGCTGGTTCTCTGGAAGAGGCTGGAAAGGTCTGGAGAAGTAGCCCTAGAACAGTGTAAGCTAAGCTTAGTGGGTATTTCTGGCTGGAGCTCAGAATGATGGCTCGGTGTGGTGGTACATGTCTGTCAGCCCAGCACTTAGGAGGCTGAGACAGGAGGATTACTGCACATTCAAAGCCAGCCTGAACTACATAGGAGTTGAACCCATCTCAAAACAACACAAGGGGGCCGGGGAGATAGCTCAGTAGAATAAGCACTTGCCTGGCAAGCACAAGGACCGGAGTCAATCCTCGGTTCCGCAAAAAAAACCAAACTCACAAAACCCCAAATAAGCATTTTATCAGAATGTTGATAAAAAGGCAGGCTAGGGCTGGTGAGATGGCTCAGTGGTCTAAAGCACCTACTTAGAACAAGCTTAGCACAGCACAGGGACTGCGGTTCAATCCCCCAGCACCACATGCCAGCCCGCCCCGCCCCCTGGTGGGCTGAGCTGCCCTCCCCCACAAATAAAATTTAAAAAAAAAATTAAAGGCAGGCCATAAAGACAAAATTCAGGAGGCTTGACCTCGGAAAAGGGACCCCTCTGGCAGTTGGACTACAGGCCATATTTATTGCTCTGGCAGAAAACTTGTGTACTTTTTGCTCTTGTCCTGAGACTGCAGGAGACTAAGGATGGCAGTCTAACCCAGCATGAAGATAGTGGTGTGGTGCTGTTGATGGCTTTTTTTTTTTTTCTGCAAATGGCATGGCCGAGTGATTTTAAAAGTTCTGATTTTCACAGAGAAAGTAGCTCCTGTAATGGCAGAAGAGACCCTGGTTGCTGAAAATATAAGCATTAGAAAGAAGCCAGGTACCTTCGATGAGGACAAATGGCTTGAGGGTGTATCACAAGTCAGCGAGAGCCCCTCTCTGGGCAGCCTCGGGGATGCAAGGCTGTAGCCTGCTTTGGTCAGCCCTGTGGCACCGTGCGTGGCAGGTGCTGCCTCGGGAATTGGTTCCGCGGTGTTCACTGCACCACACTCAGCCATCCAGGCACTCGGAGGCCTCTGCAGCTGCCATCCAAGAGGACCTGGGTGCTGCTCAGCAGGAGGCAGACCTTGGCACCACCCCCATGTTGCTGGTTTTGCAGGGTGCAAAATTGGGGTCAGGAAGGCTTCCACCCGGATTCAGGAGCTGCGAGGCTGTGTGTCCCCAGAGCAGGTCTGAAACGGAGTGCAGACCCGAGGATGTTGGAAAGCCAGCACATGGAGTGTCTGGAAAGGCTCAGGAGTGAGCGCTGTTGGCCTGAGAGGAGGCGGGGTGGCCCAGGTCCTCCGGTGCTCACGTCTCGCCACGGCGTGTTCCTGGAGCTGGACGTCCAGCTATGGCATTTAGTACTCGCTCGGCTGGGTTTCAGTCTCGCTGTGCTCTCTTCGAAAAATGCTTGTTTTTTGTTTTCCTTTTTCTCTCTTTTTGAGACAGTGCCTCACTTGTAGCCCAGGCTGACCTTGAACTTGGAGCACTCCTGCTTCAGCCCCTGAGTGCTGGGATTATAGGCAGGCAGCTCCACGCCTGGCTCTGTCCCCTTTCCCTTTCAGAGTGGGAATGTTTACCTGGTGCCTTTGTATGTGGGCAGGGGTTAACTTACTTTGGTTTTTCTAGGGGATCATGGCTAAGAGTTTGTCTTAAATCTCAGAGACTTTGAACTGATTTTTGGCAATCCTGGAACTGGTGGGACTTGGGCAGCTCTTTACTTGATCTTAGCCAAAAGGCCAAGAAACGATTGGGCTACTCTCAGAGATGGACCAAATGCATTTTGCACAGTGAGATGCCCAGGAGCCTTCTGGGAGCAAGGTGGCCTGTTATGCTTGTATCTGATGTCTCCCCAGGGCCATATGGGTTTGGAAGGCCACTGGGTTACAGGGACTGAGGGCTGACTTCCTGTTAGGAGGTGGGGTATGCTAGAAGAGGGGTCACCGGGGACATGACCTATAAGGGTCTATGTGCCTCCCTTTCTGGGTCCTCCTTTCACTCCACTTCCCGTCCCCCAAGCTGAGCTGCACTCCGCTAGGTTTCCATGCCAGGCCATCCTGCCTTGGGGCTGGCTGACGGTGGACTGAAATGTGACCAAGCCAAACGTCTTTAACTCACAGATGTGGGGATTCTCAGCAAAAGAGCCTATGGTCCCAAAGGCAGTACTGTGAAGAATCCATTTGCACCACCGTCTTGTTGAATGTGGTATTAGGGATTAAATGTGGCTGCTCTGGCACTGAGCCACACCCCCAGCCCTTTTACGACAAGGTCTTGAGCCAGGCATGGTGCACACACCTGTAATCCCAGTACTCCAGAGACTGTGGTAGGAGGTTCATCCACAGTTCAAGACCAGGCTGGGGAGATCGCTCTGCAGCATAAGCGCCTGCCAGGCAAGTGCAAGGTCCCAAGTTTGATCCCCAGGACCACATGCTGAGCCGGCCTGAAACAGTGTGGTGGCCCACACCTGTAATCCCAGCACTAGGGAGGCTGAAACAGAACAATCACCACGAGTCCAAACTGTGTAGTGAGACCCTGTATGAAAATAAACAGCACAAGACTAACGTGGGCTACAGAGTGAGCTCAGCCTGGGCTGCATCGTGAGACCCTGTCTCAAAAAGACCCAAAACGGGAGCCTGGGGAGGTGCCTCAGTAGAATAAGTGTTCGCCTGGCGAGCGCAGGATCCTGAGTTTAATCCCTGGTTCCACAAAAAAAAAAAAGACAAGGTTTGCTGAGTTGCTCAGGTTGTCAGGTTGTGCGTAAATCTGGCATCCTCCCTCAGCCTGGAGCTGGGTGCCAGGTGTGTGGTACTACACCTTGCTGTGTGTTGGCCTGTGGGTGAGGGCCCTAGAGACCTGCTAGCAGGCACCATAGCAGGCATGCGGGCTCTAGGCCCGAGCCGTGCCAGCCGCCATGGCCTCAGGAATGGCCATCCCACCTCAGCCAGCTACAGTGGCCCCCTAAATACCAGGCCACATAGTCCTCCGAAGGAGGCACTGGCGAACTTTGGCCTGGCTTCTGTTCTCCCCACAAGCACTGCCCCTGTGCTGTGGTTGATGGGGTTTTTTGAGATGGGGTGTCAATGTATTCCAGGCTGACTTCCCCGGGGATCCCCCTGCCTCAGCCCAGGTGCTGGGATTATAATGTCAGGTTTCTTGGAAGCCTGTGTGGCCAGGCCTGACCATGGGCCACCGGGATTGCCTTCTGTTCCTAGACTCCGCACGGGTGCCTGGCTCTTTGCACAGGTCTCCAGCTCTGGGCTGTGCTGTTGCTCTGGGGCTCCTCCCCAGGATCCAGCGGCTCTGGGTCCCAGCCCAGCCCCACAAAGCTCACCCACAGCCCTCAGGAAGCTGTGCGTTTGGCTTCTCCCTCAGTCCTGCATTCCTGGGGCAGCCCCTGGGAAGGATCCAGTGAGGACCCCCAGCGCTGTCATACCCAAGGTGAGCCTCAGGCCACAGCACGCAGCCAGAGTTGGGCTGCACCCCAACACCCAGATGCTGCAGGAGCATGCAACCCTTGGACCTCAGCCCTCTCTCCCATGGTGGCCCTTTGCTGCCCATGTCCCCACTTGTCCTGGTAGACAGCACTGCACCTGACCATCATGGTGACTCAGAAATGTTGAATGAGCCAGGCCAAGTAGCTCCAGCTACTTGGGCAGCTGAGTCAGAAAGATACAAATGGAAGACCAACCGGAGCAATTTAATGAGATCCTGTCTCAAAATAAGGCTGGGGTGTAGCTTGGGGTTCCCTTGGTTCAATTCCCAGGACCAAGTCCACCAGAGAGTTGACTGGGGCCTCTGGCCTCCTCCCCACTGAGCTGGTTTTGCTGGGAAGGTAGCCTCCAGCTGGGCCAGGGAGACTGTCCAAATTGAGTTTTAAGCCAAAACCAACTGTCAATGGCTTCATTGGGCTCTTTGCAGGTAAAAGAGACTGGGTGTCCGGGCGTGGCTCCCAGCCTGCCTGGAGGGGCAGGGCAGGGCTGCACAGGGCAAGATCCCGGGGAGTAGACCACCACGGCTGGGCCTCTATCCTGTGCTGACTCAGCCCTGTGTAAGCTCCCAGGCACTGATGGAGTGAGTGGCAGCGGTGGCAGGAGACAGGAGGTGCTCTAGGCAGAGCTGCCGTGCCTGGCAGGAGGCCACTGCCCCTGGCCCAAGTGAGGACAGAGGCCCTGGCTTTGCTCTGAGGTCTTGGTTGGGCCCTCCCCAGCTGGCCCCACCTCTGCCCTCTGGGCAGAGCCAGGCTGTGTCCTCTGAGACTGAGCCAGCCCCACAGGGGTTTCTGGTCCACCCTAGTGTCAGTCTCAAGGCCTAGTGGGGTCAGCTGCCTGGGTCCAAGGCTGGCTTGCAGAAGGAGTCTGGCAGCCCCTTGGCATGGTTGACCAGCTCATAGGAGTCCCGGATGTCAGCCAGGCCAAACCAAAAAAAGATCCACTGCTTGTTGGAGAAGCTGCCATCGCTGTGCTTGAAGTACCTGGAGGAAGGGAGGGACCTTAGAGTGTGGCGGGGCTTCGGGCTGGACACCAGCAAGGCCCTGCTGTCTCCACTATTTCATTGGGACATGGGGATGGCAGGTGAGGGAAGAGCACGGCTTGCGTTGAACTCTGGACCTTTGTGATGAATGCATTCTCAGCCCCCCACCCCCCACCCCTTTTGAGACAGTCTTGCTGTGCAGTTCAGGTAGACCTCAAACTGACATCAATCCTCCTGCTTCAGCCTCCCGAGTGCAGGTGTGTACCACCATGCCCAGCCTGAGCCCTGTAATTTTTTTTTTTTCTAATTTTGAGAAAGGATCTCCCTAAGTTACTCAGTTCCTCAGGCTGGGCCTCCACTTGTAAGCTTCCTGCCTCAGCCTTCCAGAATGGCTGGGATTACAGATGCAGGCCACTGTGCCTGGCGTCCTGGTCACTACCTAGCATCTAAAGTGCAGTGGTGGTGAGCAGGGAGGTGTGGCAGGCCTGGAGGTGCAGGAGCTTGGCAACTAGGCCTGAAGAATGTCAAAGAGAACATTCAGCAGTCTGGAGGCTGAGGCAGGGTGTCCATGAGTTAGAGACCAGCCTTGGCTATGTAGGGAGAGGTTATCTCAAAAGCCAAGAAAACACTTCAAAGTCATAAAAGAGCCTGAGAGTTCGCTGACAGGAGGGGCTGTGCCTCTGACCGCAGGGACCCCGGTAGCCTCTGACTAGAGGGAAGCCGTCTCCAGCCTACCACGGGTTGATGGGGTTGGTGACCCGAGAGCGCCAGAAGAGCGTTTGCAGGTCCCGCTGCAGGCACTCCCAAAGCATCTCGCCGGAGCCCTGACCCTGGCGGCTTGCGCTCACCACGAACTTGTCCAGGTAGGGTGTGCCCCCCAGCACCGGCTCCACCGTTAGGATTGCAGCGGCATGGTACCTGGGTGGCAGGGCAGAGCCTGTCAGGATGGCCTGTCCACCAGCTCCGTGGGGCCTGCCACCCGGGGTCAACCCTCACCCCTCTGAGACGTAGACCGAGTGCAGCCTCGGCTGCAGCGACGCCAAGTAGTCGTCACGGAGCCTCTTGCCAAAGCTGGTGTTGACCAGGGTCACCAGCCTGGCCTGGTCCAGGCTGTCCAGGCTGCGCACACGCAGCACACGTTCTGCATTCTGGAACAGGGTTCCGGAGCCTGTAGGTCGTGGGAGGGCGAGTGACCGGGGGCCGATGGGCCGCCTGCAGGGGATGGGGCGGGCCAGGGCACGGGCATCTCTGGGGACCCTGCCACCTGACCGGCCCACCTAATGCCTTCAGCCCCATCTCCCAGCGCGTCTTCTCCTGGGGTCACGCCCACCCCAAGACTTCAGCTCCGCCCGCCCCCGCCCCTCCAAGTTCCACCTAGGCCAAGTCCCTTGGACCAGTTACGCCATGCCCACAGGCCGCAGCCCCGGCCGCTCACCCTTGTTGCTGAAGAGCTCGGTGAGCAAAGCGCTCGGGGCCGTGACCACCGCCGAGCAGTGGTGCGGCAGGCGGCTGAGCACGTCCACGATGAGCCGCACCTGGCGCCGCTCGCGCGGGCTGGCCCACTCGGCGCTGCTCACCAGGTCCAGGTCAGCCGGCAGGTTCACGTTGCTCAGCACCTGCGTGGTAACCGGGCAGTGAGCCGGGAGTGCGACCGACCGCGCGGAAGCCCTGCCCGGGAGGGGGACGGGACACCACCTGCTGTTGTGCGTCGCGCAACCCGCCCTGTGCGTTGAGGAAGATGGTCTTCGTGGGCAGCAGCGCCTTGGCCAGCGCAGCCGCCACCTCCAGCGAGTCAAGCAGCACAGCGCGGCGCGCGGCCGTCTCCCCCACAGGGCACAGGATCGGGATACTGCCCGCCTCCAGGCACCAGCGCAACAGGTCGGTCTCCACGGCCACGATGCCGCCGTAGCTACGAGTGGGGCGGGGTGAGGGGCAGGGCGCGGTGGGCGACCTGGGGGAAGTTGTTGGGGGACTCGGATAGGCCAGGGGCGTGGGCACCAGGCGGCCTGAAGACTCACCTGGCGTGCGGGGCGGGCTCGGCCGCGCTCAGCACCGAGCCCCCACCAAAGAAGGGTACCGCGGCCGCCGCGTTGTGGCGCAGTGCATCCACCAGCGCCTTGCAGCTGCGGGCCAGCTGCGCCTTGGCGTCCCAGAAGGACAGGCAGCCCGAGGGCGCGGTGGGCGCCGGCAGTCCCAGCACCACGAGCGGGCGCATGTCCATGCGCTGTAGGAAGGCCAGCGCGAAGGCCAGGCTGGACACGGCGCGCGTGCAGCCAAGCACTGTGCCGTCCACCTGTGCCAGGGCGTGCGGTCAGGGTCTCGCTGGGCCCCGCTTCTGCGCCCGCCTCGCCGCGCCCTTTGCCCGCCACGCCCGCCCTCCGACCTTGGACCCCGCGGCACCTGGGGGCAGGGCTGGCCTAGCAAGGAGTTCCTCCCACGGCCCCTTCTCCCCAGTGCCCACCGCAGCGAACCTCGATGACCGCGAAGGGCCGGTTATCCTCGTGATGGCAAGTCTGGAAGCGCGCGAGCCACTGGCGCGCCTCCCCCGGGCTGGCGCCGCACTGGCTCAGGAAGGCCTGGATGTCGCGCTGCACCTGCGAGCGGCTGCCCGGGTGTGCCGCGGGGGCCTCCGGCGGCGGGAGGCGCGGCCGCACGGGGCGCAGCGGAGCGCGTTCCCCCTCCGTCTCCTCCCGCGGGGTCCTTGGGCGGGCCCGCGCCGTGCTCAGCCGGCGTCCTGGGCTGGCGCCCCCAGCTGCGCCCAGCCGCGCGCTGCAGCTCAGCCTACGCGCGTCTCGGGGACCGCGAAGCCTAGACCCCGCGGCGCCCCGCAGGGCCGCGGCCGCCAGCGTAGTTACCATGGCGACTGCACGCTGCCTCCACGCGTGTTCGTGAGTAGGGGGCGCAGCCTCTAGATCTTAACGGACCGCGGGGCGGGTCTTGGGCCGGGGCGGGTCCTGGGCGGGGCCTATGCGTATTGGAAGCATCGAGCCACAGGGCGGGGACAGGGGAGTGGGGGTGCGACCTATGGCCCTGGGTCACGAGGGCGGGTGGGGGTGCCGCAGCGCTTTCATCTGCTGCCGGGTGGGTGGCGGGCAGGAAGGCCCCGGAGGATGAAGGAGCCGGTGGGGTCGGCCGGCTGCGGGACATCTGGCTGTCTGAGTTCCGGCCAGGAGATCAGGTGGACCTAGGTGGACTCACGGCAGCTCCTGGGGTCGCCTCTGAGAACCTGTGGGAGCTCAGTACTGAGCTTTTCTTAAACTATTTATTTATTTAGTTACTTGTGTTTTTGTCTTTTTGAGAGAAGATCTCGCTGTGCAGTTCAGGCTGGCCTTGAGCTCACTTTGTAGCCCAGGATGGCCTGGAATTCGCACCCTCATCCTTCTGCCTAAAACTCGAGCGCTGGGATCACAGTCACAGGTCGCCACGCCCGGCTGTTAAACTATTTTTTTGTGCTGTTGGAGATTGTACACAGGGCCCTCACAGTGGGCTTCAAGCCCATCCAGCGCCTTCTTATTTTTATTTTGAGAGGAGGTCCTGCTAAATTGTTGACTTGCCCAGGCTGGGCTGGAACTTTTAATCCTCCTGCCTCAGCCTCTCACAGTGCCCGGATGAAAGGACACGTGCCCCTTGTCTAGATGTACCAGTGCTTTAAACTGTTGAACCTTGTACTGGAGTCCTGTTAGGACTGACCAGAAGGCCGCTGTCCCTGGCTAAAGTGGGAGAACCCCCAGAACAGGGAGGATGCCCTGGTCACAGTGTAGCTGCCTGGGAGGCGCGGAATACGTGCTTGTGCCCACTCCTAAGACTACACACTTCCCAGAAGGCACTTGTCACCCTGCAGTGTCTCCTGGTCGGGACACTGTGGCCCTCCTTTTCCAGGTGAGGAAACTGGGGCGCTGAAGTAGGTAAGGGCCCAGGCACCCTGGTTCCTGACCAGAGGAGCTCTGCCCAGGTCCAGCTTCAGAGTAGGGTTTGGAACAGACATGTAAAACTTGAACTTGCTCCAGGGGACCCAGGGGGGCTGGCAGGAGCCCAGTGCTCTTGAGGCTCTTGCCTGCTGCACCATCTGAGGGCCTCTGTCTTCCATGAGAGGGGATCAGCGTTGGCCACCCCTTGAATTCTGAGCGCTCACAGCCTGGGGCTCGGGGCTCCTGGCAGCCCCACGAGGGAGCAGGGTGCCTGAGTGTGCCTGGGGTGCCAGGCCTGTGTTCCATCCTCAGCACAAAGTAAGACTTAATAAACAGATGAGAGGACGCTGGTGAGTGTGCTGGTCCCGCCCACACCCTGGGGTCCGAGGTGCTGCACGGCAGGTGCTGACCTCCTGATTCCTTCAGCTTCCTCCATAGGAAGGTGGGCTCTCATGGGACTGTCTGCTCTGTGCCCTGGGGGTCCGTCTTCTGCCCCCTGGGGGCTCCCCCTTCAGTGCCAGCCCCCTGTGCCTCCCGGGGTCCCAGGGGAAAGGCTTGGCTCAGGGGCCCTGGAAGTTTCCCGGGGTTCTCATCCTTGGATCCCCAGGCTCAGCCACTGTGGGGTTCAGGGTCTCTGTATGGCCTCCCGTCGCTGTGTCCTACAGGACACACTGGGCCTTGTCCAGGTGGGCTCTGTGCCTAGGAACCAATGGGAACCACGTGTCCCCTTGTGAACGATTAACTCCAGACTGCTGACAGCTGGGTCCCTAGGCCTGTCCCCAGAGGAGGCCAGCTGCGGGAGGGACCAGCCTGCCGTCCTAAGGACAGCACTGGGTACAAGGACAACAGCTCCAGTCCTCTGCCTTCCAGCAGGGGTGGGCATCCTGCTGTCCAGACATCCTTGTGCGCCAGAATCAGGGTTCTGGCTTCTCCAGGCCTGGAGTCTGGGGTCGTGGGAACAGCGCTTCTGAGCACAGGCCAGGGGTGAGGGCCAGCTGCCTCCCACCTGGCAGCTCTCCGACCAGAACTGATGGGGTGGGGCTGGAGGGACAGCTGCCTGTGGTGGGGGTGGGATCTGCAGAGTGGGGGCGCCCAGGCCTGGAGACCAGTCAGCCTCCGCCTCAGGGCACAGGGCCGGGGAGCACCGGATATGCACGCCTGGTTGTTCCAGCAGCTCCAGACGCTGCCAGGCCTGCCGCGGCGTCAGTCACTGTCATAGGGCGCCACTTCCTCTGCTGTGCCTGCGCCGCCCGCCGCAGCTGGCCACCCATGAGCCCTCGCTCCAGCCGGCCGGGCCGGCGGCTGCCCCTCCCTCGTCCTGGCCCAGCTCTCGGGCAGGACTCCCGCAGCCCTCGTGCCCACAGCCGGGCCCTGCCCTCCCAGGCCTAAATTAGGAAAGTGTTATAGGCAGTCAGACAGGGCTAGGCCCTGAGGCGGCACGGAAGGCAAGGCAGCTGCAGCTGTGAGAGCCAAGGACGCTCCTGCTGTGGGCCAGACCTAGAGACCAAAGGCTGCGCAAACCCTGACCTCGGAAAGGTAAGCGCCCGGCATGGATCATCGCCCTGAGGAAGCCAAAAGAAATCATTAATCCGACTACTACCGGCTGACTACTGGATCAACTCCTGTTCTATATTGGCTTGCTGCGGTTCTGGATTTAATCAATTTTGCCTGAGCGAGGGTGCTTGCAGCCTCGCTGGTTGGCCATACTTTCGTCCCCCTCACGCCCACCTAAGCTCATGTTCTCCACCTTAGACCCGCCTCACCGCATGGTTTTACTCTATGAAAGTCCCTGGAAGAGACGATGCCCGGGGACATGCTCAGGCCTCCCTTTCGTCCCTCTTGGACAGAAGCTTTCTTTCCCCCAGTAAATATTCTGCTCTTAACCTCTGTTTCTTCCTAAAATTCACTCTTCAGTTTTCGAGAACGCGAACCCGGCCAAGGTACCTTTCAGGTGGAGAGTTTCATTCCCCTTGTCAGTACCAGCGCTCAGGAGGCTGAGCGGGGAGGACCACAAGCCCAGGCGAGCGTGGGCCACATCGTGAGGCAAAGCCAGACAAAAATCAGTAGGTAAAAGGTTTGGGGATGTTGCTCAGTGGCAGAGCACCACCCCAGTGCCACAAAACAACACAACAAAACCCCCCAAGCCGAGGAGCAACCCCCAGACCGATTCCCATGAGCTCAGAAGCCCATTACTTCTCCCTGGGAACAAAAACTGTCCCTTGCACCCCAGATCCACCAAGGGCTAGCAGCTGCTCCCTGTTCCCTCGACACCAGCTTCAAAACTCCTCCAGGGGCTGGGGATTGGCTCAGCGGTAGAACGCTTGCCTAGCAAGTTGGAAGTCCTGGGTTGGCTCCTTGGCACCAAAACCAAAAAATAAACCTCAACTAAAACCGTCACCAAAACTCCTGGAAACAGTGTGTGTCACCCAGCAAGGTCCCTGCTCCTCCAGGCAGATGCCCTGGCCACCTCCTGTCAGGTTCCAGGGTCTGAAAGCCACAGCTGTGCTGCAAGCCCCTCTCTGAGGGCACCATGCTACCTGGCTGGGGACACTGGGCCCTCTGCTCAGCCCGTGGGAGGGCGGGGGTGTCCTGCATTGCCCTTGTCGCTTGGCGCAGTCTGCACAAACCGCAGGGCTCCTACCTTCCATGCTGATGCCTGCCTGGCAGCTGCCCCCGCCTCTGTAGTCGCCTGCCCAGCCCTGTGCTGGCTCAGTGCCCCAGAGGGGTGACTACTCTTTGTGGCTCCAGTGATTGAACCTGGGCCTTCACGATGAGTTTTTCCCTCAGCCTTTCCCTTAAACTTTTAAATTTTGGTACAGGGTCTTGCCAAGTTTCCCATTCTGACTGGGAGCAGTTTGAGGTCTCAGCGTCCCAGTGCTGAGAGGACAGGCATGCACCACCATGCCAAGCCTTACGGTATTTTTCAAAGTTTCCTAATGATTATGGTAATATCTTGAGTGTCAGGTACTTCAATTTTATTTTATTTTGTCTTTTGAAACAGGGTCCCACTGTGTAGCCCACATTGGCCATTTTCCCAGCCATCCTCCTGCCCCAGCCTCCCAGTTCGTGGGGTCACAGGCGCGCACCACCACTCCCAGCGTTCACTTGTACACTTTTCTGTGCTGCCATGTGCAAGTTCCCTGATCCAGTGCAAACACTCGTCCCTTCTCCCGGGTGTGGTTTCTTCCAAGGTATAAGCGGTCGAACCCTAAATCCTCCATACATGCGGGCACCAGGTGTGAGGACGCCCTGGGTTCCCAGACGCTGGACAGCAGTGTCCAGGAGGTTGCGATGACTCGGAGCCCTGGCCAGCAGGGAGCGCTCGCAGCCTGCCTGTACCCTTGGTAGCACGGCTAGGATAGCTGGCGACAGGGAGCCTCACCCTGTGACGTGGCCCTCCCCTTGTAGCTCATTTTTATTTTTATTTTTTTTTAATTATTACATTTTATTTATTGTGTGTGTGTGTGTGTGGCCAGCTCAGCCCACCAGGGGGCAGGGCTGGCTGGCATGTGGTGCTGGGGGATCGAACCGCAGTCCCTGTGCTTTGCCAAGCTTGTTTCAAGTAGGTGCTTTAGACCACTGAGCCATCTCTCCAGCCCCTGTAGCTCATTTTTAGCGGTCAGAAAGCTACAGGGACACAGAGACCAAGTGCAGCCGGCAGAGGGACGGGCTCTGGGGACTGTGTATTTGTCGTGGGAATCTGTGGAGTTTGAGTCCGCAGGGTTCCAGCTGGCTGTGGTCTCTGATTGCCAGGGGACGCCACCACAGTAAGGTGGCACCCATGTCCAGTGCTTCTGATGGGCAGGCCCAGACCTGGGCTTCTTCCTGGCCGGCAGCGAGCACTGGAGTGAAGATGCAGCTGTGAGGCCCCTAGAGTCGCCTGAATCCAGGTCTGGGTTTGAAGCAAGGGGCCCGTGAGGGCCACAACCTTTGCCTCTGTGACTTCAGGGCAGTGGCGAGGGTTGGGGAGGGACACTGGGCTGGACGAGA